TTCACCCACTGCTTCTGGCTCTTAAAATCATCTCTCTTCCCATCCTCTACAATGATCCCATGAACCATGAGAGGAAAAGGTGTGATATAAATTCCCTATTTAGGGCCAAGCATTTTGTAGTCTCTTATTCTCTTCACCTTAGACAGTTGTGGGTTTCTGTGTTATTAACCATGCACTACAAATGGAAGCTCCTCTGATGAGGGCAAAGAGATACATTAATATATGGGTATAATTATGAGTCATTAGGAGTCCATTCAAATCTCTGTCTACTTATCAGAATAATAGGAGTAGATCCTTCTATTGATGAATAGATTGATGACCTATGTAGCCACAGGTTCTTGGCCTGGTGACAGCACTAGGGTATAGGTTTTATCTTGTGGAGCAGGCCATAAATCCAATCAGAGTGTTGCTGGTTACTCACATGATGTTCATACCACTAATACACCAGTGGGTATGTCTGGCCAGGACAGATGTTACCTGTAGCTCACAGGGTTGATGGCTGGGTAAGATTGATGATCACTTTTATTTTCTTGTAGTGTTGTATCCATAGCATCTTCCTGCACCATGAAAGTTAGCTAGTAGGAATGACGTTTCTAGGTCAGAAACAGCTTGACATCTCTGTGTTCTGTGTCTGAAGTACGTGGTGTCTTCTGCAGTAGAGAATTACCATCTATTTCTAGAGGGTAACCAATAGCATTGGCAATAGTCTGTAATGTTTAAGGGTTTATGGGGCCTCAGTGGCCAACAGCTCTGAAAGAGGTAATTTGTTCCTGGCACTAGACTTTTAATTCTTTTTAGCCTATAATATTGAGTAGGAGCATTGTTGTCCTGTTATGGGGGCAACTTCATTTGAAATCTTTTCATATATTTGTTTATATACAGACAATGCAAATTTTAAAAGAGGAAGATGATTTTGATCATGGTTTTGGAAGCTTCAGTCTTGGAAGGCTCTGTTGCTGTGGGGCTGTGTTGAAGGTAGTACATTCCACTGGGGAGTGTGTAGTGGAGCCAAGCGGTCCACCTCATGGCTGAGACTCCAAAGAGAGAGAGAGGAAAGGGTTGACTCCCTTTATCCACGTCCAGAGCATACCATAACCTAAGTATGACTCATTTCAAATCCTCCTGAACACTGATTTCTTTGCAATGTTGTTCAGAAGTAGGTACCACTAACAGCAACCTGTCCAGCTTTACCAGCTCCTTCATGCATATTTACTGAATGACTCAGTGGATTCTTAGTGTCGATTTTCAAGTTCCAGGTAAGAGCAGAGGTTTTTGCGGCCTTCCGTGGGAGTGCAAGCAGTATGGGAAGAGGGAGAGTGCAGTGAAATATCATGCATGACAGCGCAAAGCAGGCCCCCACTCTTAGTCCCAGTGCGGTAAGGCCGACTCTAGTTTCCAGGTGTAGCTCACCCTCCCCTGCCCGGCTTGTAACATCCACACATTTCCTTCCTCTCCAGGAGAAGATGGAGGTCGTCTTTTATCTACTGTTCCCACTGAAGGCCCAATGGGACAGACCTCTGGTTGATGCTGTGACTTTGTCAAGGAGGGCCCCAATGGATTCCACAAAGTCCAACTGTAGATGGAAGCCATACTCCCACTCCCCTCTGTCCATCCTCGATGCTGAATCTAGACCCTGGCTGCCTAGTCCGACTTCTCCCCTCTGTCTCCTTGCCTTTCTCTGCCTCTATCGCTTTTAGGAGCTGCCCTCCCCCTTACTTTTAACCTTCCTGGTGACTTTATCACTCTCTCATCTGTGTCCACTGGCCTTTGTCAATTACTGGGATATTGGGAGCAAAGTTATGTAAAGAATTCCAATTTCTTACCATATATTTTTTGGGGTCTCATTCATATTTGAGGATATGAAGATAAGGTTCCCGTCTGTGGTGATTTGAAGAAGATATGTTCCATTGTCTACGTCATTTGAATACTTGGTCCCCAGTTGGTGGTTCTGTTTGGGAGGCTTTGGAGGAGGGGGATTTAAGAGTTTATAGAATCCTGCAGTTTCTAAGCTTCTAGTCTCTCTCTCTCTCTCTCTCTCTCTCTCTCTCTCTCTCTCTCTCTCTCCTCTCTCTCTCTCTCACACACACACACACACACACACACACACACACACACACACACACACACACTTTGTGCTTGTGATTTAAAGTGTGAGCTCCCAGCTTGCTGCTCCAGCCACTGTGCCTGCTTACTGCCACCCTTCCTTGCCATGACAGTGATGGACTCCCTGTGGAAATACAAGCCAAATAAACCCTCTCTTCTATAAGTTGCCTTGGTCACAGCAACAGAAAAGTAACCAACTAATACACTGACAATCAAAGACACCTGTTATTAATATAGTACACCAAAGATCTGGCCATGGGAGACAGGGACCATCTTGATCCGTTCAGTTTTGGCGACGCCAGCGAAACTTATGAACCCAATGCTGTGGACCTCAAACTTCATTCATGATTGTCATCAGCATATTGTTTCAACCGGGATTTGAAGGGCCTCCTTGCTGGTTTTTTTCTGCTTCAGCAAGTCTAGGGAGATAGGAAATGAACCCAGAACAAACATTTCTGAAGGATTCCCAGATCATTTTGTTGCTTCCATTACTGGACCACAATGTGAGATCTGAAGGACACACAGTAACTTCACTTGACTAGCCGGATTGGTTTAGAGGGGAGAAATTAAGGCCCCTACGTGTGTAGCTTTTGGCTGCTCAAGGTTGGTCCTCACAGGATCCTCTCAGTTCAAGCTGTTGCAATAAAGTGTCATTGACCAGCTGATCCCTGACCCATAGAAAGCGATCTCTCATGATTCAGGAGGCAGGAAGTCTGAGCTCAGGGCAACACTCCAGTTAGTTCTGGTGAGTCTCTTTTCTGGGTTTTAGACTATTAACAGCCCACCATATCCTCACATAGAAAGGGGATTAAAGAACTCTCTGCAGGCCCCCTTTATAAGAGCCTCACCCCCAGGACCCAAGTAGCTCCCCAAACCCCATTTCCTATACCATCCCATTTGGGTAAGAATTTGAACATATAAAATTTGGGGGCAGTGGAAAAGATTGTCAGTCAACTGCAGGGAAGAGACCCAGAATCAAACACTGCATTGTGTGTAAGTCCCTGTGAATGTCAACTAGTCATCTAGTGAGGAATTGTACAAAACCACAGAGGGTTCCATTCATGAAGGGCAGTAATGCAGCCCTGTGAGGAAGTTATGCTCAGCCCACACTGTGATGGGGACCATCACCTGGGCAATGTGTGTACTTTTTTTGTGAATTGCTCATAACACACACGCTGGATATGAAAGTATTCCTCACATAGGCAGAAAGGTTGGTGCTGTGGTTTCTGGCAATGAGTAAGTGATGAGTCAGCTTTAACCTCAAGTTAGGCCAAAGCCAAGAGAGATCCGAGGCTACTCAACCCTCTACTTGCTCCTTTCTGGATCACCTTTTTGTTTGTACACAATTCTATTGTCTTCTAGGAGAAGGGCTTGGCTATTTGACAAGAGTTCTGGGTTGTAAAATTAGGACTCTAATATCCTTCTGTGTATAAGAGGACCTTGAAGGAACTACTTGGGCTTTGGAAACTGAATGGAAGTTAGTGTGCACATTTCTGAAAAATTATTCTCCTCCAAAGACCAATGCAAGGCCTGCTGCCCTCCCTGGGAGGTATTAGCCCTTGGGAGACTGAGCTTCAACTCCAAGGGTATGTCATAGCTTGGGTATGAAGAAGTATGTATTGAGGACTTGGACCCCAATATGCAGTGGTGTTCAGATGTGGGGTCTTTTTGAGGTGACTGGTGACTCTAACTTCATCAGCAGATAGGCGGTTGATAGAGTCACAGCTTATCTGTCTATTGGGGATTAGTGGCAGCTTAAGGAATTGGGACCTACTTCAAAGAAGTATAGCATTTAGGGGTTCTCTTAATTTATCCCTTTCCTTCCCCTTGTTTTTGCTTCCTGGCCACCATGAGGTGTGAGTAGCCTCCCCCAGCATATGCCAGGATTTCCCAAGGATGGACCCCAAAGTGACAGAGCCAACCATAGACTCAAACCTCAAAAACCACCATCCCAAAACAAGCCCGTCGGCCTTCAAGTTGAGTTCTTTCAGGTGTTTTATTACAGTAACAGAAAGCTAGTGGAGAATGAGAGATACTTCCTCCTGGGTTGCGTCAAGTAATGTGTTTCAGGCAGGACTTCCAGAATTGTGTCCGCTTCGGTGTACTGTGACAGCGAATATGGGATGTTAGTGTGTCTCAGTACCGGTGACAGTGACTTGGATGACATGATTTAGACGCTGTCCACCAGCTTTCTCCACAGTGAAGTTGCTTTTTCCAAAAGCCATGTCTGCGAATGGCAAGTGCGGAAGCAATTACAAGGGTGAACACCACCTACCACAGACTTCCTCATTTCTAGAAAGGGAGATTTTCTTCTCTTCCTTCGCATCCCTTTCCCAGGTTCGAGGCTTGTAATGATTGGTAGAATGGTAGGGCAGGAAGAGGCAGAAGGTCACATGTATATCTGTTTGACAGATGGGTGACACTTCCAGCTGAAGGTGTGTGTTGCTCGTGTCTACCAGGCTTGCTTGAATTTATCAGCAAAACGCCTTCCTTCAACTTTCTTTCCAATCTTCCGAGCAAGTAGTCTTGGTTGGTCTGTCTTTTTAAAATCTTACAAGATTGTTATATTTAGTTTTTTTAACAAAGAAAGGAAAGAGAACGCATCGGTTTAGAGGCAGGCAATAGAATACTAATCCAAAAGTTTCTTAAAACTGCATAACTTTATTTGCTCTTTACTGGGAGCTGTATGAACATTTTCTTTTCCACAATAGCAATTATTTTTCTTTCACCCTAAAAGGAGCTAAAATAAACGAGTCTATTCAGGAAAAGAGTTGAAGGATGAATTCTTTCCCATGGGGTAGACTAGCGCCACCCCCGGGAACACTGGCTTCTCTCAAACAGCCCGCCGCCGCCAGCTGAGCATTCCAAGCTCGGGACAAGCCCCGGCGGGGTTCTCCCAAAGCCCTGCAAAAAAATACTTGCGCATGCGCCTCAGCGACCCACTACTGTTTGTCCGTTTCCATGGCTACGAAGCCCATCAGCGTGGACGAGTAAGAAAATGAAGCTCAAGAGCCTCTTGCTTCGGTATTACCCACCAGGTACGGAGTTTCCACGTTTGGATTCCCAGACTGGGACGGTCTGGGACGGAGAAGGGGGCGGGAACTTGGGGAGGGGCATCGAGGTCCTGTTGGTGCGATGGAGTGGGACAGGAAGCAGAGCTCTCCCGTTTGGGCCTCCAACCCTTTCACACGCTGACCGCTGTTCCTCAGAATCCTTTAAGTGACTCTCCGAGGAAGTCTTTAAACTTTTAAAAAGCTTTCTAGTAACTCACGAGTCTGAGTAGGGTGAGGCTGGAGGGGTAGAGAATAGTGACGTCCTGGGATAGCGTTTTCTGGAGCATAAGAGGTGAATTTCTGCTATTTTAAACTCTTAATGACCAAGTCTAAGTGAAGGAAGCATGAAAAGGAAAAAAAATGCACACTCAACCGAGCATGTTACCTTTGTTACGCACTCCAGTCTGCTGCATCAAGAAATCGCGTTATGAACCTACAATTTACATGCTTTGTGCACTTGGCCGTACGAGTTTGAAGGTCAGAGTCCTTGATTCTGACGTGGTGATTATGAAGTAAGCTCACGAAATGCTGCTGTTTTAGAGTAGGCTATTCTTTTCTGGTGATCACATGTTACAGATTGGGTGGTGGGGGGAACATGGTCACCATCAGGGAGTAAATGAAATACAACTTGTTGTGGGACAAAATAGGAGGAAGAGAGGGGCGTGGTGGCGCACACCTTTAATCCCAGCCCTAGGGAGGCAGAGGCAGGCGGATCTCTGAGTTCTAGGCTAGCCTGGGCTACAAAGTGAGTTCTAGGACAGCTACAGCTGTTACACAGGAAAACTCTGTCTTGATAACCAAACCAATCAACCAAACAAGCAAACAAAAAACCAAACCAAACCAAAACAACAACAACAAATCAGGAGGAAAACTCCCAGCTTCTTACTAGGAACTCAAATTAAAAATAAGAAAGGGTCAGGGAGAAGCCTCAATGGGTAAAAATACTTGTGGCCAAGCCTGATAATCCGAGTTCAGTCTAATGTGGCCGGCCGAAGGGGGAACTGCTTTCCCAAAGTTACCCTGTGACCTCCGCATATGCACTGTGGAATATATGCACGTTTTCACATGCTCACATGCACACATGTAGCATAAATAATGAGTGCAGTTGAAATAGCAAATAAAATCAAATATGTAAAAGAAAGTCCTCAACACTTGGCTCCGAATAACTGCTAAACACACGTGCTGAGTGGCACATTTGAGTAAAGAAACTGCAAAAATTTCAGAGGAGACCTAATTCACTTTGTAGCAGTTTAACCAAGAAAGTTTTATGGATGTGGACTAGAAGAATTTCAGGACAGAGGTCTCATTTTCCTCAGCAATGCAGCCAACATTTCAGTTCATAATTCTAACCAAAATATCGAATAGACATGGGTATCATTATTCCTTTCTTCGAGGGCATCCTGATTTTGCTGTTTGTCCAATGTCAGCAGATATCTTCAACTGTCTCTTTTTTTTCTTGCCCAGTTTTCTTCCTGCAGAAGCAACATGTCCATCCTGTATTTCCCCCTTACCACCACTCACTGCCTCTTTCTGCTTGCTCTTTTCCATCTATCAACAAATTCTATCACCACTACTTCTAAAATATTTCATGAATCCACCAGTTCGCCCCTCTTTACATCACACAGTTTTCTTGGCTCAGCATCCATTCCATCTGCCAGTATAGCCCGACTCTTGATTCAAGCATCTGCCATCTCTTGTTGGGAAACTTCAATGTCTTGGTTTTCACTCTCATTTACTGTGTGCCTGTAGAATCTGAACCAAACGTCTCCAGTAGTCTCCCATTATGCTCCTGTTAGGCTTAGAATAAAATATGCAGTCTGAAAGAATTGGCTCAACCTGCTCTGTTGATTTTAGAACTTTACTCTCTACCCTCTCTATACTTTAGACCTCTGAACTAGTCTTCCAAAACTTAAAAGAAGGCTTGTGCTGTGAAATAATGCTTTTGTACACTGGTTTAATAAAACACTGATTGGCCAGTAGCCGGGCAGGAAGTGTAGGTGGGATAAGCAGACGAGGAGAATGCTGGGAAGGGGAAGGCTGAGTGAGGAGATGCCAGTCTGCCGTCCAAGGATCAGCATGTAATGGCATACAGTTAAAGCCACGGAACATGTGGTGACATATAGATGAACAGAAATGGGGTGAGTTTAAGTGTAAGAGCTAGTCAGTGGTAAGCTTGAAGTAATGGCCAAGCAGTTATAATAATGTAAGCTTCTGAGTGATCATTTTACAAGTGGGCTGTGGGACTGCAGGGGCTTGGCAGGACCGAAGAAAACTTCCAGCTACAGGCCTGTCACTCGATGTCCCCTCCCTGGACAAAGTTTCCCCTAGACCTCACAATGGCTAGGCTCTTTACTTTGTTTCAGTTAATGTCACTGACCCAGAGAAGCCTTCCTTTTCCATGTCAAAAGTACCTTTTACTGACTTACTCTACAGCATTTTGTATTTTTGTTGTGTTTATCACCAGATGGCACAGATGCTGGCTGGTTGACACAAACTAGAGTCATCTGGAAAGAGGGAGCTTCAATTGAGCAATCGCCTCCACCACATTGGCCTATAAGCAAGTCCACGAGGCTTTTTCTTCACGATTGATGTAGGAGAGCCCATGTCATTATGGGTGATGCTGACCCTGGGCTGGTGGTCCTGGGTTGTGTAAGAAAGCAGGCTGAGCAAGCCATGGGGAGTAAGCCAATAGGAACTGTTCCTCCATGGTTCTTCCTCTGTTCCTGCTTGAGTTCCTGCCCTGACTTCTTTCATTGATAGACTGTAGTAGGTATGTGTAGGCCAAATAAATCCTCTTCCCTTCGAGAGTTGCCTCTGGTCATGGTGTTTTCACACCGACAGCAATCAAACTAGAACAGAGTCTGGTAAATGTTGTCCCACTTGATCCCTTTGCTGTGGAGCTCGGGTTAGGGATGTGGGCTGTGAGGCCTCAATAGCCAATTATCAGCATATTAGACATTTTCTGTGGGGCAAGTGGATTGGGTCTGTCAAGCTGTCAGTCACTAGCACCTACCTCCCACTTCTGCTGGCTTTCCAGTTGCTAGCATGGTTGCCCTGTCCCTTCAGTGTAAGCCTACTTTGAGTCACATGCCCTCCAACCTGCCTCTTTTCTCTCTTTAGCTCATTTCCTGTTTTCACAGTTATCACAGTTACCTGACTCCTGTCTTTTTTTCAGGATCCTCCCTGACCTCCGTGAATCTGAATCCACTAGCTATGTCACAGCCTTTAGCAGACAGCAGCACTGGACTCGCGTGGTTACTCTGTCTGGCTTCTCAGATGAATACTCTGCCACTCTCGTGTCTCACTTCTCCTTCATCTGCCCTGTTGGCCCTCTGCTCTCTTAGTTTGGAATGCCCCAGACTTCTGACCTCGAACTTCTCTCATCTATTTGCACTCATTTGCTGGGCGACTTCAACTGTCCTCAAGGCTGAGAAACCACCCTGAGTAGTCCAGCACAACCTAACTGCCTGACATCTTCATAGGTACATCCAATGTGCACCTCAACATGGGATAAGTTTCCCATGGTCTTTCCTACCTCAGCTGTACCTTTGGTTCTCAACTAGTTCATGACAAAGATTTTGTGTCATTCTTATTTCTCACTTTATATCTTGTTGAATGAGTAATTCTGTCAGTTCACACTTCCTTTCCCCATCCATTCAGCCACTAATCCATCCGTCTCTGTTTACCCATCCATCCATCTATCTGTCATCTATCTGATAAAACATTATACCAGTATCACCAGACATCAGAAACCCCATTCCACCTTCATTTCATGATATCAACTTTCTCTGTTACTATAGCTTCTACATTTCACGATATCAATTCTCTCTGTTACTATAGCTTCTACCTTGCCCCATGTCAACAGAGCAACCTGCTGACTCTGTTGAAGTGTCCATCTGAAGCAGTCACTCTGGGACTCAAGCTCCCCACACACTTTGGTTCATTTTTAATCTCAAAGTCAAAAGGTCATGCTGTCCAACCTTCCGTAGGACCTCTTCCTTCTGCCTCTCTGACCCTGATATTTTTTGAGTCTTTCTTAGCATCACCACCATTTTCTGTGTGCTTTGGACCAGCTGGATGTGGTCCTATGTAGAATCCCTGAGGCTGATACTAGTTCTTCCTGGAATAGTTTTTCTGTGGTTGTTTGCATAATAGGTGTTCCCAAACATTTAGCACTTTCCTCAAAGGTGTATCAAGTGAGGTCTAGATGGTTTCTCTTTCTAAGAGTCCCATCTTTTCGAGGTAATTCCCAGACCCCTTTCCTAATTTCATCTCCCACGCTACCTCAGGGCTATGTCAATCCAACACACTATCTCATTACTAATATATATATATATATATATATATATTTGCTTAACTTTCCTCACAAGGTAAGAGTTCTATGAGGGGTTTTGCCTGCTTTGTTTATCTTCTATTTTCAGCAGGTATGTAGAGCTTGGTGCATAAAATATCCACTCACATGTGTTGAATAAACAAGCTTGATGAGATGATATGCAAGGATGATGCTGGAATTTCAGCTGAAACAAGAATAGATCAGAGAAATCTGATCTCTGCTTGATCCAGCTCTGACAGCCAATATTCTAACAGGAGTCTCAGACTTCAGGCAGGCTGCACACTCTGGCTTGCCACTCTTGACTTGATGATTATTTTTATAGTGAGGCCATACTACTTAGCAAATTAGATATTTGATTTCTAAATTCCAATTCTTGGGGTGCTATTATATATGCAAGTTTCCCAGACATTACTGAATAGCAAGTGGGTGTCTTTACTAATATTTTCATATGGGAAAAAATGCTTGACATGGAATGTTTCCTATACTCCCTTTATGAAGTCTAAATGGAGAACAATTTTGTTTTGCCTTCTAAGGTTCTCATTTCAATCCTCCCACTTACAAGTCTGAAACATCCTTCTGTTAGCATCTACTAAATCAACCTTGTCCCTACTTCAATACCTGGTGACTAAATGCACAGAGCAGGATGTGGCTG